TATACAAGAGCAAATCTAATTTAGGTAGTTATGTTCTTTATAATTTCGTCTCTTCAAAAAAAGTATCAAAAAATTTTGTCTTTTAAATAAAATAGGTCAAAAACAATTTCATCTTTAAATTTTAATTTCATACCCCAAAACCTAAAATAATTTTGTCAACATGTATAGTCAATAGCAGATAAAGTAGTGAGAGTAGTATATTTTTGGAGTAATACAAGAGCAATTTCTCTAGAGTCTTCTATATTTCTATTGTATCTACAATTAAAAATAATATCTCTAATATTTGTACAAATGGAGGGTCTGTCTTAGGTTATAGTAAAGTGTACAAGGCTAGTGATGGTTTTGGAAGTATATATAACTATATACGCTATAGGTATTGGAATACCAATTTCAAAATCTTTCAAAAGGTGTGTGAAGAAAAGTACAAGGGCTAGTTCTAGGTAGAGGATAACAATATTGACAAGAAGGTCTGGGTTTAAGATTTGTAGAGTAGTAAAGAGAAGAGCAGAGTTTTGTTGATGTTCATGCTCATGGTTTATAATATATTCATTGTGTAATTCAATAACTCTATCAGATATAAAGTAAAGAATATTTTTGCTAGCTACTAGCAAAGATGAGAGAGAAGATAAAATAATGTTCTTGGGGTTGGATCCTTATATCTATACTTTGGCTTGTGGGAATTCTTCAGTTATCCTTGAGGTTAGATCCTTATGTCTATACTTTGCCTCGTGAGGAATCTTTCAATATTCTAGGAATATGTTTAGGTACTAGCTAAATAAATTCTTGGTAGCAGAGGTTGTTATCTGCAATACTCAATTTAATCTGGGATAACTATTCTTCAGTAAATAGCTATTAATCAAAAGGGGTCTGAGATAATATCATCTGGTAATAGTTTTAAAATATTTTCTACCAGAAGGTACCAAATATTACAGTACCATGGCCTTCTTAATAGTAGTACTATAATAATGACATGGCTATAGAGATCTTTCACAAGTTTATAGTGATATCTAACAGGTAAATATAATTTCTACTACAACTAGAAACTATATTCTTCTGTTTGTGATAGTTTAGGCAGACAATAGTTTATGGATAAAATATATGTTTTATTCGAGAAAATAAGATAGACTATTCTTAGGTTTCTATTTTTAAAGAATCTTATAATATTATAAAAAAGAATTTAGAGAAGAGAAGAGTCTAGGTCTAAAAGATAAATAGTACAGATCTTATATTAACTTGGAGAAATTTATATCTTTTTTTTTTTTTGCTTCACTTAGGCTGATCGCGCCAGTACCTTTATTTAATCAAGCGCCACTTGTGGAAGTGCATAATCATTAAAACTATAGGTCTGACATCCTGCGGTTATCTCGACTAACCTAACCGATTATCTAGTCCTACAGGCGACCTGCCGCACCAGAGAGGTATGATCAATTAAGATAATACTCTACTGGGAGCTCGTCTAACCACCGCTCTACAATAGGATGTTACCAATCTGATAACATCTTCTCGTAGAAAAGTGAAAGAAAAAGAAAAAAAAACATATAAATGAAACACAGAGGTATAGGAGAAAACGTAAAAAAAACAAATAGAAGAAAAAAAAGAGGTAAGGGAAGAATAAAAAAAAGAAAAAAAAGACGAAAATTAAACTAAATATGTGATTTTTCACCCACACCAGACGGTCACGATTATAAGCCTGTGTCGGGCTTCTTAAAAATTACTTACTACTATCTAAACTATTCTCTACACTAATTTATATACCTAGTATATTAAAGACTTAAAACCTAAAAAAAAACAAAAAAAAGAGAAAAGCTTCTTCAACTGTCAGTACCATAGAGAAGTCGGACATCGCACTATTGGGCTCGGAGTATTGTTTGTCCAGATCATCAAATTCGAGGCACGTAATCATAGGTCCACTACTCCATATGTATCTGAGAAATTTATATCCTTTTTATATTTTTAGAGCTAATCACTAATCATTGCAACTAAACATAGTTTATTTAGTACTAAACGTAAAATATAATCACTAATCATTAAGTGTTAAATGCTAATTGTAATTGCTAAGCGTAATTGCTAATCATTAATCGCTAAGCATAATTATTAAACATTAATCACTAAGTGTAATTGCTAATCATTAATCACTAAGCATAAGGGCTGTGACATATATTACGTAATATTATTTTATCAAGAAGGCTATCCTCCTCCTCTCATGTCATATATAATCATATATAATATATATATATAATTATATATATATAATATCATCTTCAGGTATCCCCCTAGGATATTACGTAATATCTGTCACTGCCCTAATCACTAATTGCTAATTATTAATTGTTAAGCGTTAAGCATAATATATATTTGTTAAATTCTACTCTAATAATAATAACTAAATAATAATAAAATAATAAAGCAATAAATAATAACTAATTCGTAATCTATCTCCAAATCAGTAAAAATCATTAGTATTATATAGAGTAAAATTTTGTAGATCATTAAAGAAAAATCTAGCAGATTGCGGTTTTTAGACATAATGTAACACCACCAAGAAAAAGCTTGTTCATGTCAAATATATAGCAAAACGTATATATAAAACTCCAAGAATATGCTATTTAGTCTTTTTGTTTAGTTAATAAAAAAAAAACAGTTATTGCTAACAATATCAGATTCTGAAATAAAAACTGATTTGCGACTTCATTATTTCATATATTTTTACTATAATATTAATATTAGAGATATTATGATCTACTTTTTTGCTTATTTTCTAACCAAAAACTAATCTTTAAAAAAAAAAAAAAATCAAAAGACAGGCTATAATGTTTCTAAAGCATATGAATTTCTTTTTTATAAGCAAAAATATGTAAAACTTTATTACTAAAGAATCTTGTATTACTATTTATACTATTTTAGAACTGTCAATTATACTTGTTTGAGCTGTATTTTCACGATGTTGATAAGTATAATGGCCTATTCATCTTTGAATAGTAAGCACTTTTGGAACAGCTTTGGCCTCAATATCACCCTTAAGCATTCTTTGTTGAAGAGCTTGATATATGTCTTGCGCAGAATAATGATCACTTTTGTTTGCATTACCGGCTAAAAAATATCACTCCAATATTTTTCTCACCTTTTTTGCAATTCTTTTTCCAGCTCTCTTTTTTTTGAATTTTTGTTTCTCTTTTAATGCCCATCCCAATAGTAATAAAAAATTTACAGTATATAATCTAGATATTATCTAAGTAAGTATATATTAAAGCGTTGAATTGAAACATATTTCATATCTATCATTACTCATGTTGATTTTTTCAACAAAAATGTTAGAGTTTATATCATGATCTAGCATTGTAAAATATTATATAGTAAATGCACAATTAGTAACAAATTATTATAACTAGTTGCTTATATAGTTTAGTATTTTTAATATCAGTTTTTAGCTAGATCTCCAAATTTGATATTAGTGTACTTCTGTTTTCTTTTTCGTTTGTATCTATCACTCTCAAGTTTAATTCTTTTATCAATTTTTTTTTGTTAAGACGTGTTAGATTAAGGTCTAATATTTTAAAATCGGTTATTATTAGAATAAATAAAATTTAGTACTTTCAATAAATAAAAACTTGCGTGTAGCATTTGGAATATGTATTTCCCAGTCAGAACAAGGCGTAGTATGGGTAAAAATCTCAGGATTGGGTTTATAAATGTCCTTCTTGCATAATTTTTCTAAGTCTGCAGGTGAAAATATTTTCTAATTTCCAATATTAGAAATAGTATATACTAAAATACTTCCAGAAAACTTTCCTGTAGTAGGTCATTACTACTCGAACCAATTTGAATTACCGGGTAAGGAATTTTTCCCACTACCTAACTGTCATACTATACATTAGTATTAACATAAATATCTTTACAAATAGGAATGATATTAATTGATAATCCACCTATCAATTGGAGAATAGACAAAATGTAGCGTGCTTCATTTAAAACCTTTTTTTACTAAGTTAATGATACATGGCTACTAATTGAAAGTTGTAGAGCTTGTTGAGACACATCTAACGGTGGTTAGATCATCCAAATTGGCTTAGTGGATGGCGAGATATCATTGAAAAACGATTGGTCAACTATATAAAAATCTGTGACAAAAATTATATATGAAAATCACTATCAGCAAAATGTGGAGTGTTTCCATCTAAAACTTTTTTTCTTACTAAGTTAACGATATATGGTTACTAATTGAAAGTTGTAGAGCTCGTTGAGACGCATCTAACGGTGGTTAGATCATCCAAATCGGCATAGCCGATAGCGAGATATCGTTGAAAAACGATAACCAACTATATAAAATCTATATGTCAGCCAATCGTTTTTCAACGATATCTCGCTATCGGCTAGGCCGATTTGGATGATCTAACCACTGTTAGATGCGTCTCGATAAGCTCTACAACTTTCAATTAGTAACCATATATCGTTAACTTAGTAAGAAAAAAGTTTTAGATAGAAGCACTCCACATTTTGCCAATAGTGATTTTCATATGTAATGTCATAGATTTTTATATAGTCAGCCAATTGTTTTCAACGATATCTCGCCATCCACTGGGCCGATTTGGATGATCTAACCGCTGTTAGATGCGTCTTGACAAGCTCTACAACTTTTAATTAGTAGCCATATATCATTAACTTAGTAAGAAAAAAGTTTTAGATGAAGCACGCTACATTTCGACTATTCTCTAGTTGATAGGCAGATTATCAATTAATTTTATTTATTACTTATAAAATATTACATCTTAAAAGGTACTCTAATTTGTATAAATACATTATTGTAAATTTTACTTTTAAAAACTGACCTCTATCTCGATTTGGTTTTAAATTTGCTACAGATATACCGCGAATATTTTGAATATCATTTTCTATATCCTGGCCTTTAGAAATATCAAATTCCAAACATATATAGCAATTAATTGCATGAGATATCTAAATAAATTGGTTTGGTTAAAAAAATATTTTAGAAAATATTAATTAAATGAAGAGAATACTTTTATTACCTAAGCATAGTGTGAATCAATCGTGGTTTTGGCCTCTCTGGTCTTCAAAAATACCTATTTTTCTATTTAAATTTTATATATATATATATTTTTTTTCTCTATCGGCAGCCTTACCGGTATCTTTATTAGATCAAAGCATATATAATTACATATAATCAACTATCTAAGTTACAGATCCGACATCTCTCGGCTGCCCCGAAGGGTACTCAAGAGCAGTTTGCCTTACCAGTTAAGGCTTCTGCCCATACTGGAGAGCTATACCAAGCTAGCCATTAAAGCTATACCAAAACGGCTTTATATTATTCACACACCAGTTTTTAACTGCAACAAACCAGAATTTTTCTTTTTTGTTTTTTTCCTCCTCTTTAGCTTTTTCTACTTCTTTTTTTTTTTACTTTTCTCTCTTAAATTCTATATCATTTTGGCTAATAATCTATAATTATTATAAGATCTGTACTATAGTAATGACTACTATTATCTGACATAATAATTATTGACTTTATTGTATTTTTTAACAGCTCTATTACTGCATGAAGAGATGAAGCAGTAAACCATAAATTCTGTCACATATCTGTGGACTAGTGATCAAATGCTTGAACTCTTAACTTTAAACTATTATATTTTGTATATATTAACACTAAATGGAGTGTTCACACATTTTTCCAAACCAATCTTGCTTTGTTTCTCAAGCTGATTTTGGTAATATTTTCATCTTGTAATCTACAAGAATTAAAGCTTTATCCTTATCCAAATCTAATAAGTTTGCATTAAACTGTCCATTCAAATAGACTTTGTGAGTTTGATGAGTCATGCAATAATATAAATAATCTTGCAATTCGACTAATTCCTCATATATATCTTTTTCAGAATTATTTTTTAATTTAACAAAAAATTTGAATATAGTATTATATTCATTACAAGTGTGAGAATGAGGTTGGCAACATTTTCCAAATACGTATAACAAGCAATGATTGATACAAATGTTGTGAGATGTTGTTCCTTTAGCTGTAATGTGAAAATGTAATTTATATTCACGTTTTAAAAATCGCTTTAGTCTTTTACAATTTCCTAAGAGCCGTATCTAATAAGTTGGTTTATTTAATAATAAATAATTAATAATAGTGATATATTGGTAAGTTATTTATTTGATTGTCACAGATTGAATCTGAAGCTAGATAGTGATACCCATAATATATACTATCACTACCAAGATTTAAATCCTTAAATTTCAGTTACTTTTTATTTTTTTATTTCTGAATATAAATAAATTCCAAATAATTGAAATAGTAATATGAAATTTAAAATAATCTTTTTGCTTTATTTCGATTATCTGGAATTTTTATAATATAGACTTAAAAATTACAAGTATATCACAGGTTCAATAAATATATAAATGATACATAATGGGATCCCTTTATTATTCTGATATCTATCCTTTATATATCCACTTTTAACCTGGTTTGCTACAGTTATTTAGCGGATCTATAGTAACATAAAGGATGAATGCTAGTATAATATAAAAGATAAATATTAGATAAATAAAGGGTATCTATTAATATTCTGATATCGATATTTTTTGTGATAATTATATATCTGTTTTGCTACATATATTGGAAATATAAAAGATAAATATCGGTAAATACAAAATAAATATCAGCTAAATAAAGAGTACCTACTTATGCCCTGATATCTATCCTTTAAGTATCTTCATTTAACCTAGTTTGCTACAGTTATTTGGTAGATCTATGGTAACATAAAGGTTGAATACTGGTATAAAATAAAAGATAAATATTAATTAAATAAAGGGTATCTATTAATATCCCGATATTGATCCTTTATATGATAATTATA